GAAAGCGGACGAGCGTTTTGCAATTGGTGCCCTAAAGTTGGTTAAATAGAATAATTAACAAAAAATTTATTTTATTTATCCAAAATTGCAGACGCTGTCAGCTAACATGTGAAACAATAGACGTGGAGAATGGCATCAAAGAACCGGAGTTAAGTTGGTTTTGGCCGGAGCGCGAATCAAATTTAAGTGAAGAAGCTAATGAAGCCCCAGAAGATATTGCAATAGCCGACGATATTAGCGACGAAGAAGAATTCACGCCGATAGAGAAACTTGAAATGTTGACTAGTTATCTGCGCACTTCCTATAAGTTTTGCTTTTGGTGTGGAGTCCATTACAAAGATCAAGAGGATATGAGTACCAATTGCCCAGGAGAAGCACGCGATGATCATTAACGAGCAACTTTTTGAAACAAAGTCAATAAGTTTATTTAGCTTAGGTATTAATAAACTTTACTCACAATAAAATATAAAAACTTACTATAGTGTACACTTGACATATCGAACACCTTCAAAAGGGGCACAATTAAAAAAAAGTTGGATCGTTTTTATCATAAATCATTTCGTAGGATTTAAATCCAATTAATGCAAATATTTTCTTCTGATTGATTGTATTCTTTCATTTGAAAACTACTGTTATATCTGTTAATGTGTTGAATCTGTAAGATCCTCAAGTAGCTATATTTTCGGATCTGATTTCTGTGTTGTGCCTCTTTCAAAGATGATGTGCGATATGCAAGTTTAGTCGTCATAATTAAAAAACAAAAAATGCAAAATTTTTGCTAAATTTTCGTAACTGCATATGAGGTGTAAAAAATCTCAACAAATGTCGTAGTGAATGTATGAGTTGCTAAACACGTCCATCCAACTTATGTATTAAATCTTGAGTCTTTTCAATCACACTGTATATAAATGGGCGCTCCATCGGATCCATCCGAAGCATATATTTAATCAAATCATGCATATCTTCCGAATATACGGAACTTTCAGGAATGTTGATGTTACCACTCAAAACCGCTAAAGCAACGCTATCACCTTTTTCGTACACCGAATCAAACGGACAGTGAAAAAAGCACATTGCATACAGTACGCAACCAAGAGACTGAAAAAATAACAAATTTATAAGGTCTAAGTGTTACCAGGCGGAATTCAAAATTTGATAGTAACCCAAATATCTGTACGTTCATCTACAGTAGAATACGACTTCACGGAGAACAATTCAGGCGCACGATACACAATCGAACTGCGTTCCTCAGCTTCATCTTGCAGCCGCTGTGCTTCATTCTGCCCACAGATTTGCAAACGCGCCTCTGTCATAGAGCCTAGATCCACAATTATCGGTTCGAAAGTGTCAGACAAACAAATATTTGCAGTTTTAAGGTCACGATGTGCAAGCGGTACTGGTTTAGTTTCATGTATCGCCCTTAAACCGTTGCATATACCAAGGAAAACCTGTAGAACTTGAGGTTCGGACATGTGATCACCTTTACGTGCACGCATTTGCAAATGATCTGCCAATGAACCATTCTTATAGTATGGTAGTACAATGTACAGGTCGCTCGTTGTATTAATGACAATATCCGCTGATCCTTTCAGCTCGTAGTCTACTACTTTGATTACATTCTCTGAATCAATACGGTGACAGTTTTCGATTTCTCGCACGGCTATATTTTGGTCATCGATACTGTGACAAGTTATACGTTTCACCGCATACAGCTTGTGCGTTATAGAATTTTCCGCTAGGTTTATTAAGCTGAATCCACTGTAAAAATACACAGGGAATTACAGGCTACAGAATCACAAAATATTCACTGTGTCTTACCCCTCTGCCAGCCGATCACGTATAATGTATTTAGTTCCTCTGATGGTAACCGTTTCTTTGGAGCAGAATAGACAACCTTTTTTCATTATTAACATCCATCCTAAGCTATTCATCGTGGGCTGGGTAGGTTAGATAAGTAGCTGGGAGTTGTTGCAAGCGAAGTTTGGTGACTGAAACGTTAAATTAATGGGTAAATTTTCACTAATTTTACTATCTAATGACAAAATAAACACTAATGTTTTAAGGAAATCAAGATAAATAGTCGGATCAGCGCAATGCAGACGAACGCAATTTTTGGAGCAACAAAAACAAACCCACGCACTGATTTTCGTTGGTCAACAATCAGCTGGCTGTCCAGTTCGCGCTGTCAAACACATAAACAGGGTGTTTTAAATAAATGGTAAAAGTTTGGTGATTATGAAAGAGGAATACATACGGGCTTTTCTCATTAAAAAATGGGTCGCGGAAAAACCTAAATTCAGCAGATTTCTGCGCTGCGGGCTACAACTACAGAAAAAAATTCTGCGATGTTTAGTTTTCATTTGCATGGCGCTCTGGTAAGATAGATCGTCAGCTGACTCGGGTTACGTACCGGTAGGTTTACGTTCTTGACTAATTTCAGCTTAAATGTTGGTTGGGTTATGTTTCCTTGTGCGGGCAACAGCTGATTTTACAGCAAGTGTCAATTTGTTCAATTCTCCGGGATTTACTGAAGTTAAATTACTTAAATTTAATATGGATATTGAAGACAACTCCAGCCGAAATCCTCTATTAGAAGAATGCTGTGAAGATTTGTTTGGTATACACCTGGATCCTCCAGATAGACGCGACAAATGTGAGAAATGCAAGTGAGTTCCTGGTTAATTTGACTGCATATCCAGTTGATTTAAGCAAATCTCCGCTCGCAGGAGACCAGCTGTGGTCTGTTGGTGCCCATCATTACCCAATCCGCCACTTGACATCAAATCTGCGATTGTTATATTGCAACATCCTGCCGAGGAGAAGCGTTCCCTGCGCACAGCCTTAATGCTGCAACTTGGCGTAACACCCGGAAAATGTGTGGTATATAAAGGCAAACGATTTCCATCGCCAAAGAATCAAGCCGAGCTAGAACCAATCCTAAATTCACCCAATTCTTTACTACTCTATCCGAGTAAAGACTCTGTGCCTATAGAATGTGTTATGGCGCAAATAAACACAGATCAAGATGAACGGAATGAGGAACAACCTTTTACTTTGGTGCTTATTGATGGTACATGGCCACAGGCAAAAGCAATTTATGCTAGCAGTCCCATGCTGCACGGCATGCGACAAGTCAAACTTATAGCGGCCGGCAATAGCGATTATATCATACGCACACAGCCTACCGAAGGATGTCTCAGCACACTAGAAACAGCGGCGCAAGCACTATCCGTGCTGGAGCAACGCCCTGAATTGCGCCAACTGCTAGTACGTCCACTGCATACCTTGTGTAAATATCAGTTGGATAATGGCGCTGTGGAACACCAATCGAAAGAATTTCGCATTAAAAATCAACAATATCCTAAACAGATTGGTAAACGATTAAATCGTTTGCTCAATTATAGTACAATTTGTCGACCTGAGGCGAGGGAAGAAAGTATGATGAATGGAATGGATACGAACTTACAACAGCAGCAACAAGAAACGTGAAAGTAGGCAGATTAATTTCACAAAAATTTGTACACAATATAAGTTGCGTTCCAGACGCTTCCGGATTTGCAGGAAAAGCTTTTTTCTCCATTAATAAACCTTATGAAAGGTGGTCACCTGGAACGGCTTCCTGTAAAAACCTGCATATCGTGAAGCATCTGCAACGCAACTATAGCTTTAAGTGCATTTATTTTCTTTTATACATATGTATGTATGTATTGCCAGTTTGTAAAGTATGTAACTTGAGTTTATAGCAATTTTTTAAGTGCGCATAAAAATAATGAAATATTTGCAAATGTAAGTTTGTTAGAAAATCTGTAAAGATTTGTGCAGAATCTCAGAATCAGAAGCCTTAAGTCAATGTTTGATTGCCCGCAGCTTCAAGCGTGCGTTTCATAAGACACTTGGCTATGGCATAAGTACGCACACATGCATTTACTTCGCTTTCTGAAAGTTAAATCGTTTAAAAAATAATATTTTTATAATACATTAACTTACCTGATTCTGATTCACATAATTCAACTGAATCGGCGATTATTGACCACATAGTTTGCATTATCAGATCCTTATTTAAATGCCAATTTTTTATTAAGCCCGACTTTTCCAAGAAACAACGTATGAAACACTGTAGGAATACAAATAAAGTGTCGTGGTTGTAACGGTAACAAAATATTTGGTATCAACGTTTTGTTTTTTTTTTTTTTTAATTAAAAATGTATAAATATTTGTAAATGCTCTATTACCATGCCCGTTTTATCTGTTGTGTCTGACAACTCGCCCGTTGTGTTGAATTGCACAATGTAATCTGTTAAAAAAAAAATCGTATATCTTTAATGTTTTTACAACGTTTCAGTTATTAGCTTTCAAGTACAAATATACCCATTGGTATAGAAAAGCTGGCATTGCAGGTACTCATCACTTCCTCAACATTAAAGGTATTGCTTCCATACGTTTGTGCAGCTATTGGTATATCTGTTTGGTCCGCAGTTATACCAGCCATAACTGACTGAGTTTTGTGCTGTACATAAATATCTCCATTATCCTTGGGCCGACTCTGTGCTCTAACCATATTGCAACAATAAAGCAGTAAAAAAGTAAGCGTCAGCTGGATGCATGCGTTTATACTGGTCATTTTTTCCCCTTGAAATACAAATGTTGGGCCTGTTCTGTATTACAAAAGCATCTGAACTCGGAAGTGTTTATAAATAATTGCATGCATGCTAAAATGCAGCCGCTTTATATAGCATCACGAGAAGTGCAGATAATTATAATCAAATTGGAGTACTTTGTAATAGAAATAAACGCTTAGAATTATTTAATGATTTTTTAAATTTTATATGCATTAAAATATGAGAATTGGGTGCATCACCAAGAAAAGTTGCGGGCTTTCCACTGGAGTTATAAGTTTTTTTTTTATTTTAAAACTTCCGTGAAACTTTTTCGGAAAGATATTAAAATTTACGTGCGCTGGACTGGTTTGAAAATATGTACCTCCAAAATTGTAATTATTTTCATTCTGCTGATTCGCTTTTTAATCATTTTTATGCAAAGCTGGTTTTTTGGAAGAAATATTTTTTAAAACAAATTTTATTTATAAAATCACGGGTTTTGAGGTATTTTCAAATCAGTCCAGAACACGCTGACAATTTTCTGAAATATTTTGGAGGGAGTCTTAAATTTTTTTTTGTATGGATAGTGATGTACCACCCTAATGTGTACTTTTTGTAAATATGATTTATATGCTAGATTATACCGTTAAATTTCCATTATCAAAAGTTGAAAACCAAAAAATCTGCCTTAACGCGAATTCCGAGTGATCACATAATCCCCTGCTTATATCCGCGAACCCTTCCATCGAACCGAATTTCTTGCAATGAATAGTGCTGTTAAAAAACCTGCGATTGATTCGAAAAGCGACACGGGTTAATAAGTATGTACAAATTCATACTGCAAAGTATTCGAGTCCGGATGTTTTGCTGTTCGAATCGCAATACAGAGAAGACCACCTGCCCTGGACTTGGATCACACAGGGAGTGGACCATACTGTTTTTGACGTCTTATGCTCTAGCTAAACGGCATGCACTGCTTCCACTACTGTTATTTGCCATTTGAGGCAAAATCCCCAATAGTGGCAAGCACAAATAAATTTTCCTCTCCCCCGATCGAAGAGATGACCGTCTTTATGGATCGACATAGTATATTGACAACTGGAACCCAAGTGTCAAAGTGGTACAACAGCTAAATTCTGCTCATTGCACACCAGATCGCACAATATCGTCTGACCGATGCAGATAACAACAGCTGTGATAACATCCTAGACAACCCTAGTAACGCTGGACTTGTCAAAGGCGTTTGACACCGTTTGTCATTGCATGCTCTAGAAGAAGATATCGAGGCTTTCTTTGTCCCACAGAGACTCAAACCATGGTCGTCGAATTATTTGAGTGTCGGCAGTCGTCAGAAAGCTTTCAAAATCAAACTTAAAAACCTAGAAGAATTAAGCAAGGGGGTTTTCCCTCTACTGTTTAACTTCTATACTTCGAAGCTTCCTCTGCCACCGGAGGGAATTTCCTAAATTTCATACGCCTAAGACTGTTCGATATTGGTGCCAGGGAATGGAATTGGTGACCTCTGCTAGAAAGTAAACGGCTACCTCTCCGAACATTCTCGCTTCTTCACTCCAAGCAGTCCCACCCTCTCCCCAACGAAGTCAACGGCGACCGTCTACCACCTGGACGAATGAGGTCAGGCTTCAACTAGGCATTCACGTCAATAGCACACCCGTTCCGACGGTGAACAAGCCGAAAATGTTAGGGGTTACCATTGATAGCCTGCTTTCATTCTCCGCTCACACAAACGCAAGTGTTAATAAAATAAAGAGCCGCGACAAGGCCCTCAAGTCGCTCCGCGGTAGCACCTGGCGCAAAGAAATGTTGCTGGCAAAATACAAGGGAATTGGCAGACGGGTTCTGAATCATGCCGAGCCTGTTTGGTCGTCGGGGACTAGTTGGATGCAGTGAACGAAGCTACAGAATTGTCAGAACGCCGTTCTCCAGGCAGTGACAGGATACCTTCTGATGTCGCCTGGGCACCATCTGCACAGTGAGACCCAAATGCTTTCCATAAGCGAGCTTAACAAAATGCTCAGCAAGCAGTTTCTGGTGGGATGTCACAGGTGTGATCAACCGACCAGACCCCTGCTTGAGGAAGAGCCGGTCATCACCACCTACCATGAATGAGCAAGGTTTTTACTCAACGAAGTGTACTAAACGATGGCTACACAGTCGCTGTTGTGCATGGAAAAGCGCCCAAAATGAAAATACACCTATTTATCGCTTCAACATCCTTCAAAACTTCTTCGGATAAGTTCCTTTTCTGTTCATTCCATAAATTGTACCAAAGAATGAGTTCACTGGCCATAACTATGTAGATCATAAATCTGTTGAAAATGCTTCCCGTTCTTTTGTACCTTTTCACTGGAACATTTAAGTTCTATCCACAATTACAGCGGACGACGCTAAAGCGGTTGGCGGTTAGTGAACAGCTGAACAGTTGCCGCAATGAAATTTCATCAGAGTAAACACAATTGCGGCGCACGACGGCTTCCGTCAGTTGTCATTTTGATTTTAAAATTTTCACTAAAATTAAATATTTTTTCGGTATGTGCTCTTTTTTTTGTTAATATTCGCAATGTTTTACATGGTAAATTTTTTTTTATTCATTTTGTTTTAAAATATGGGTTATGTTTTAGCAAATCCCATATAAATGCAAATTTCAAAATTTCAAAATTTCGAGTACTTTGCGAAAATTTCGAAAAAAATTAAAATTTTTGCAGTTTACTTGAAATTTTTAATTGGAAAATTTCCAAAATAACTGTATCGGAGATCTTTAAAATACTTTTCATTTGATAGCCATATTGTGATGTTTTAGTTAATTTATATATAATTTCGAATAGGTGGCAAGCTTATACCAGTATTCTCAATGATAACACCTGTCTACTTAGATAACCTTGAAATGTAAAATTTTTATCTCAATACAAAAATTTCATGAAAATCGTTAGAGCCGTTTCCGAGAAATTTATGGACATATGTACATGCATACATACACTTTCTTTCAGTCGCTTTGTGAGCTACTTGTTACAATAACAGTAACAACTTTGCGCTCGGATCAGTAACGAAGGCTATTGTCGCTTTGCGGTGGGCATACATACATACATAAGCACATATGTATGTGGTGGTTTGTTTTTTTCCAAGTGTTCGCTGTTGTTTGTTTTACATTTCAAAGTCAATGGCGCGCATTCATAGTCCAGCAACTAAGTCGAAACTAACGAAGTTGCAACTTAAATTTAAGTACCAACTTAAAATTTACCTCTATTCATAGTCGCATTTCAGACTTCTACTAAGTAGTTTCGACTTAGTTTACGATATAGCAAAATGAGTGTGAAAATGTATCGATTTTTCTTTACGATATTTTGGAAAAATTGCTTTTTTATTAAATAATGTCAAGTTTGATTATCCGTTTATGTAATTTTTATTTTCATTGCATGATTGTGCAAAAGAATAAAGTATCATTTTCTTGTTAATTGTGTGAAATAGCCAGAACAACCGCAGTGATGTGAAGTCGATGTTTATCGAAAGCATGCTGTGAAACATACAAATAGTAGATATCTAAAAGTTATGCACAAATTTACCTTAAAAGAACTAGCGTCAAACTGACTTATTATTTGAGAATTTTTCTAAATTATTCCAATTATAAATATGTGATTTAGCTTTATTCGAATTGTAATACGCATTTAATTTCATCTTCCGAATAAAATGGATCGATCTTTGTAAATTTTAATTGGAGATTATTCAATATTATCAAAATCTTCCTCTACCAACTTAATTTTTTACGTATTTCGTCTGTTTTCCCTTAATTTGATAAAATACTTCTTCCTAGTTACGACTTAGTTGCAGCTGCAGCCGAAACTAAATTTTAAGTTGGTACTTAGCCAGAAAAGTCGAAACTAAGGCGACTATGAATAGCTTTAGTTGTGACTTAGAATAGTTTCGACTTAGTTGAGTACTAAATATGACTATGAATATGCGCCAATGACTATTTATGTAAATATAACTTTAGTTAATGCGCGGGTGGGTGTGTATTTTTGCTGATACAAATTGGTTGCTTTCATTGCTATTGCCGCTTATTAGTGAGATACAAATTTTTTGTTCTGTAGGTTTTTTAAATCGTTTTTGTAATCACTCCACATGTTTTGTATTCACGCAAATGTCAACAACAATTATTTTCGATATTGTTCGCAGTTGATTAGTGGAGGACCATCGTATTCAATGCGAGCGAAAGGATGGCAAGTTCGTGGCTTAAGTCTTTTGTGATAGGATACTTCAAAAGAACTACATAGGTACTAAAATTTTCAACTTGGCTCTAGCATTTGTGGTAAAATTGTATGTATGTATGAATGCAGTGTTGTATGCTGTGATTTGTTCGTTTAGTTTCACCGTTTTCTTTATTAACGTTATTATGTCGAATGAGGCTTTTTGGGAAAGAAAAAAAAAGCAAAAAGATGGTTGAAATCGAATATTTGGCAAATACAAATTCTTTGAAATATTTTTAGTTTCTCACAGATTTCAGACCATAAATTTCGCTTTCAGTATCGATTTTGTTTATTATGAAGGCTAGGTTAGGTTACTTCACCCAAGAAAGTAGCAATGGAACGAGTCTCCAAGGGCCCTTACTATTGCGGGGCAGTGGCATACAACGCGGTAACTAAAACATAAGTCATTCAACTGTCACTGTCCGGGCTCTTGTCGGCGCCAAACTTTGGACCTTAGCATCTTCCTTATTTTGGGCTTATCTAGGTCGAGCCATTTATGCATTTACATTTTTGCTGGGTTGGTATTCAGATAGTTTCCCTGGACCAGGTTTCCATTACGCCTAAACCGTCAAGAATTTGTGGCTACCTTTTGGTTATTAATAACTTTCACACCTAAGTCGTTCATTGCCTACATCGCCAAAACCTTTCGGGGACCGAATAGAAATGTGGAAAATGAGGAGGGGCGCTGGGTGTGGTAAGTCCACGGGGAGACTCTATTCAAATACTGTCCACTGGACATGGATACGTGTGACACCCTGGATTAAGGGAACGCGTAGATTTCACACCCACGGGTCTAGATCCATAGTGTCAGGTGAAAATAAGACATTTGACGATT